AGTTTCAGGATTTGGTTGTCCCATGGCAAAATAGGATGCAACCAGACAACTGCCAATGTGAACCCTGCAATCTCTACACATACGTACATGTATTAGCATTTACAATTCTTCATTAAACAAATACTGTTGTGTTTGCTACAAAGCCATTTTTGTCTTTATCATGAAGTATAAAACAATAATCTTAAAATTTACATGTTTTTGTCCATATTACACTTTTAATTGAAAACAATTATCATACTAGGGTAGTCTTAAATTAATGACCTGCTAATTAAGCTTAGACCCAATGAAAATGGTAAATACGGTAGCTATTTGAATGTTTTCCACAGTCCTCTGTCTATGATCATGTGTACAGCTGTTCTTTGATAGCTGTCTTGTTTTAGTGCAACACCCACAGTCACCACCTTTTAAATGTCATCAGTTTATGAGATGAGTATATTCATAGACTGTAAAGAATCAAATGAAAACATGAAATAAATGCAGAAATACCTCATTTATCCACATAGAAGTATTATTTCGCAGAAATTCAAAAGGTTTTATTCAACTCCTTATCATTAGTTCAGTAAAAAAAAATTATCACTCGATAGTTCAAACCGAATCTTAGAATAGTTGTTATATCCAGTATGTCCCATAATGAAAGTCTGTGTTTAAACGTAACCCAGTGGTTGAGACCCCAGGATCAGGAAAAACTTAATTGAATGTTTGCAAACGACTAATTTATGCGTTTCGTAGCTGCTTAAATTTCATTGAGGTACCTTGGTAAGGATTAATTTTTCTTTAATTTTTAAAGCTTGTGAAAAAAGAAATAAAATTTGTTGTGCAAATTAATGTGCGTTAATGTATTCCTGAACATATGTTGATGTGTTGGGTCAGTTCAGGGGTGTAAATAATAAACCATCTGCCAAATAAAAAAAATTACAGCGATGGTAAATCAACTACTTTTTTTTTTTATAAACATGTTTTCCACATGGATTTAGCAGACTTTCGGTAAGCACCCTAAATTTGAATATTCCACACATCCATATTTCTACCTACAACAGTTTGTGATGGTCTTCAAACTAAATCTATGAGTATTACTAATGTACATTTAAAGACAATTTATATTTTCCTTGCCATTGTTTCTTTTTCTGATTTTGTTTATTATCTCATGCCTTTGTGTTTTTCCTTGTTTTGTTCCTGAGCTTATGCCGTTTTTAGCTCCACTGTCGACTTTGTCGAGCGGAGCTTATGAGTGATTGTCCATCGTCGTCGTCTTCCGTGTCAATGTTTTACTTTTTCGACTTCTTAATTTTGATGAATATTTTTGTAATTTTTGGTAAAAAGTGATATTTTTGACTTCTTGTTGAAAACCGCAAGTCCGATTGCTTTGATATTACATATATAGGTACTACATGTGGACCTCTCTCAGGTGTGTTCATTTCATGGTGATATCTTTAATTCTCTAATTTTAGTGAATATTTTTGTAATTTTTAGTAAAAAGTGATATTTTCGACTTCTTGTTATAAACCACAAGTTCGATTGCTTTTATATTACATATATAGGTACTACATGTGGACCTCTTTCAGATTTGTTAATTTCATGGTGATATCTTCAATTATCTAATTTTGATAATTATTTTTGTCATTTTTGGTAAAAAGTGATATTTTTGAATTCTTGTTGAAATCAGCAAGTCTACATATTGTTCATTTTCCAATGATATCTTAGGTACTACATGTGGACCTCTCTCAGGTGTGTTCATTTCATGGTGATATCTTTAATTCTCTAATTTTAGTGAATATTTTTGTAATTTTTAGTAAAAAGTGATATTTTCGACTTCTTGTTATAAACCACAAGTTCGATTGCTTTTATATTACATATATAGGTACTACATGTGGACCTCTTTCAGATTTGTTAATTTCATGGTGATATCTTCAATTATCTAATTTTGATGATTATTTTTGTCATTTTTGGTAAAAAGTGATATTTTTGAATTCTTGTTGAAATTAGCAAGTCTACATATTGTTCATTTTCCAATGATATCTTCTGTTCTTTAATTGAAATGTGCATTGCTATCAGCGGAGCTATCTCAGCCGACAGGCTGCTTGTTTTTTCTTCCTATTTTCGTTTATTATCTCGTGCCATTGTGTGTTTCTCTGATTTTGTTTATGATCTCATGCTATTGTTTTTTCCTGTTTTCATTTATTATCTAATGCTATTGTCTTTTACCCAGTTTTTGTTTATTTCATGCCGATGTTTATTTTACAGAACTACATACGCACAGACTCACACAGATGCGAGATCTTCTTGGGACTTTGCAAGAGAATGAATGGAGGTATAAACCTGTGGAGAAACTGATAGGACTGTGATGTGCACCGTCAATGTATTCACTAACTAATAGCTAGTACTGAAAATAACCAGCTAAAGATCCAGCAATCAAATGAACAACATGAAGTGGACTGCACATTGCCTTCAGAGTAGACAACAGAGCGCCCTCAGAGTTGACAACAGGATGCCTTTAGAGCATCATCAAGGTTGACAATGGAGCACCCATAGAGCGCCCTTACAGTTGGCTGTCAGTAACAATGTCTAGCATTTGAACCGTTTTAACCTTATTTGTTTCTAATTTGTTTATATTATTAAAATTAACTTATTAATTTCATAAAAACATTCTTGTAATTATCTTATCATACAATGCATTGCGTTATACTCACACCATAGATATTTATGCAAATAAAAAACAATTTTTTTACTGAACTGAGGATTTGGCCATTTGGTGAAATTATTATTCTAGTATGAGTTGTGTGATATTACTGCATTAATTTTTATTTGTTTTCCATTGTGACCTTAAAAGCTTTATGTATATGAAGTTCGTAGTAGCAATCATTAATACGAAGTTTGTTTCTTTATATTCAAATGACTTCTTTCAAAATGTAGAACTCAATAATCAACAAAATTATGGAAGCTCACGGCTAACTCGTAAAATTATGGAAATTTTCAAAGCTCTACAACTTCTTGACGCTTTGCTGAATATCTATTAGATAAATGTCAAAATGCAAATAAAAATCAAGGGCACCCAAATTGTTTCCATGGAAACCATGACTTTGGGGAAGGGGTGTGCGTGCGTGCGTGCGTGCGTGCGTACGTACGTGCGCCACTGGTGTATCGAGAATTGCTTGTCGGATTTCAGTGAAACATGGTACATGGAGATGCTATGGGACAATACACAGACTTGATTAGTTTTTTCGATTGAATGTTAATCTGATTTGCATAATAAGGCAATTTTACAGCTTTTCCATCGATATCTCGCAAACCACTCAGAAATCGATTTCAATGACACTCAGTAGATTAGTGCTCCAGAATAATTCATGGTCTTTGTTCAAATTTATGAATGTTTAATATCTAATTTGCATAATAACCATTTTTTAGCTGTCACATTTCAATGAAACTTAGTACTTTGATGCCACATACTAGTTGTTTGCAGTTACCCTGTCTTCTCAAAAACCGTTGTTCAGATTTCAATGAAACTTTGTTCACAGATGCACAGACCTGATTAATTTTGGGTAAAAATTTGTGCATCTTAATTACGTATTACCTACACTGCAAACGCACAGGAGTTCTTTCAAAGCTTTCTTTGATTTTACAGTAGTTGTATTTATGCGACAATGTTACACAAATTAATTTATACGCTGACTGAATCTCCCTTGAGATTGCAGGTACCCCAAAGAGCATAGAATGAATATGTTTGGTAAAGTGTATGCAAATTGACTTACTTATTGAGTGTCTTGGTTTTGTGTTCAACTATAATCTATTCTATTATCAAAATGTATACTTGTCTTGTTGTATACACAGGCATAGCATTAACAAAATACTGTAGAACTCTTCTGGTTTTTTAATACGCCTTCCCTATAAATCATGCCTCTAGTGAAGACTCACTTCTATGACGTAAATGGGTGATACAAAGGTCATGGAGCTCCATGCTGCACCCCCGAAATAACCAACTAACACCTTTCTGGACACGTGCAGTAGTCGATGTTCACATATTCTACATCAAAAATACTCTCATATCGTTCATAATAAAGAAAATATTAAATGAAGCAGAGCATCATGGGTATTCATTCCAAAATAACAAGTCCGAAGCCACTTTAATATCGCCCAATCAGCATAAACTTCTACGATTTATAACACATACTGCAAAGCACATACCTTCTATCACAATCTAATTTCAATGCTAAATGTTATAGTTTGGGTGTATTTGAAGACTGAATTTTAGTTTTCTGTCACTATTAAAATGAGAACTTTGTTTATGGGGGAGGGGGAGGTGTTGTAGCACTGATCGAAGGCTCAGTAGTGAGTGAATGACTTGTAAGTTATAATACTGGACGTTGCCTTTATCTTTTTACGAGCCATGCACTTCCAGCTAAATTTGAAAGTTGTGTGAATTGCGCCCTCGGCGACGAGTGCGAACCTTCTCCATCCTGCCAGTAGAGGGCGCAATTTTAGCAATACAAATTGTGAAGGAAGACATTTGGTAGATGGAAAACTAATTACGATATCAATAATGGTCCCAACCCAACCAACAATTTGCTTTGCTCAATGTCTATTACTAGACTGGCATAATAATAGATACGTGTTAGTGTCGTTGAGTGGCGGATTGCAAGTTAATAATCTCTTCACGCAGTTTGAAATGATCGCCTCTATGAATCTCAGGGAATGAATCACTCAAGTCAAATTTGTACTGCTGTCACTTTTCAAAAGGCCACCCTTGACGATTTCGTAACCCCGAGCACAGAGAGCCCAATAACTATAATAAACTGTGATCCTAGTCATTGGGTGGGGTCTGGTTGGGTGGGGTGCCGATGGGTAGTATCGATTGGTGTTAATTTGTACTGCTGTAACTTTTCAAAAGGGCACCCTTGACGATTTCGTAACCCCGAGCACAGAGAGCCCAATAACTATAATAAACTGTGATCCTAGTCATTGGGTGGGGTCGGGTTGGGTGGGGTGCCGATGGGTGGTATCGATTGGTGTTAATTTGTACTGCTGTAACTTTTCAAAAGGGCACCCTTGACGATTTCGTAACCCCGAGCACAGAGAGCCAAATAACTATAATAAACTGTGATCCTAGTCATTGGGTGGGGTCGGATTGGGTGGGGTGCCGATGGGTAGTATCGATTGGTGTTAATTTGTACTGCTGTAACTTTTCAAAAGGGCACCCTTGACGATTTCGTAACCCCGAGCACAGAGAGCCAAATAACTATAATAAACTGTGATCCTAGTCATTGGGTGGGGTCGGGTTGGGTGGGGTGCCGATGGGTAGTATCGATTGGTGTTAATTTGTACTGCTGTAACTTTTCAAAAGGGCACCCTTGACGATTTCGTAACCCCGAGCACAGAGAGCCAAATAACTATAATAAACTGTGATTCTAGTCAGTGGGTGGGGTCGGGTTGGGTGGGGTGCCGATGGGTGGTATCGATTGGTGTTAATTTGTACTCTAGATACCAGCAGATATTCCCCCCATATCTGTTAGGGTAATTAATGACAACGAGTAACGGCTCACCTAATCTAATTCTGCTAAGACCTTTTCTTACTATTTTTTTCTATTGTTCACGTAGAACATGGGAGCTTAATTGGACATGCTCCCCCGGGGGGTTCACTCTATATGCTGTTACTACCCCATGTGCGTTCCAAATTTAGCGGGAAAGCGGGTTTTTTCACCTTCTAGAGCGGACCCGCGCGGGAGGCAAATAGACCCCCTTTAAAATGCTAATGTCTGCAATAGGCCCCCAGAAATAAACTCACAGGGTTGCTGCGCTCGCTGTATGCACTCTCTTGCAACAACCACTCTCATACACCGCCCTAGGCCCCGCATTGGCGGACCCATAGCCTCGACTAGGCCGCAAACGTCCGCCTGAACTTTCCCACCGAGACTTACCCACCACTTCCAACACGAGCATACGGAGAAGGCTTGTTGTAATCGAAGAAACGAAACGAAACAGGATAACACATCTAATAAAAATTGAACTGTATTCAGTGAATATGGGTTTTATATGCTCAATATTTACAAAATATTTGCCGAAAATAATAATATTTAATACGCATATTGCTCGTTTCGCTAATTACAGATAATCAAAAATCTGTAATCAGCCAATACACGACAATATTAACAGCCGTCGGTTGAAA